GAAAACTTAAACTATGTGACCCTCAATGCACACTTGCAAGACTGGGCTCTTGTGAGCTAGTGGGCTCTGGAAGAAATAAGTGAGGAAAGAAATATGCTAATATAAAATGTGTCTGGGGTAAAAGGGCTGCTGCTGTGGCATTTCTTACAGAAACTCAAGGCAAGGCCAGAGAGTCCCCACTGTCTGGAGCCAGCAGACAGCATTAAGAATTTCATAGCAAATACTTTGCTTGGCTTTGTTTTGAAGTCAGTGTAATAGGTGAAAAGCCATGAAGGGATTTTTAATAACCTGAAAGGGTGCAACCAGATGTATAGTGAGGAAATCAGATCCACTTTCCAAATTCTGTCACAAGAAACGTAAATAGAGTAAGTATAGGGAGAGACAAAGTGAACTTAGGGTGTACATCACAACCACATCAAAAAGATCCCTAAAATGGGCTACGTAAACCTTCAATGTCCCTGAGGAAAAGCCAGTACTCTAAAGGGAGCTTTACATTTGGAACATCCAAATGCTGAACAGACTTTGTTCAGCTGTCTCACATGAAGTTATCTAATGAGTTAATCAAGCAACATGATATCCAAATATTTATATTCCTTTAGGCCAAAACCTCATCTGCTGCAGAACTGTCTCACTCCATTGACTCAGGGCAAGTTGGCATCAGAGCCCTGATAACTACAGCCCCTCCAGATGAGCTCAGTATGGAGCTTCTGCACAGCAGGAGTTCCTCTCCTGTGATCCAAGGAATTGTGCTGTATGTGTCAAGCTGTTTCTCAGGAAACACCAGTAGGATTGTGAAATAATGTGCTTTGTATGTGCTGTGCAAGACAGTAGTTGTTGACTGGGAATCAAACAGAGAATGAAACCAACAGTGCTGGGAGCTGCCCTTACAACCACATGGGCAGAGGTGGATCTAGAGCCTCAATAAATGTCCCAGTATCCCTATCCAGGGCTGGGGCAGTAGTAGAAGGGCTCTAAAGCCATGGAGTACATGCAGGAGGTGTATGCACATGATTCTGTTGTAGGATTTCTGCCTAGGACAAGGTTTCTCCTTGATAAAGTTTATTGGCAATTCCCCGATGGTGTCACAACATTTAACGCAATATCACAAGATGTTTCCTGAGATCAGTGTTAACCAGTGTGACAAAGCCAGGCTTAGAAGGAAAAGTTGGTACTGAAAACTATCATGTAAACAATCTACATTCCTGTTCATTTGTTTTTGTCATTAGCATGCTCACAGTTTGAACAGGGAAGTTATTTGGAGGCTAAATAATGCAAAAAGAATTGCAATGTGAAGTACTTGTTTTGAGACTTTCAAATAATGAATTTCTAAACCCAGCATTTAGCCTGCGAACAGACCTAAGGACTGTGACCCTTTGTTTCAAAAGAGCCAACTCACCAGCTACTGTCTAATTTTTCCTAATTGCTAAATAAATTGGACTCCGAGGTAATTAATCCTAGGGAGCTGACCTAAGCTTTGCTTAAAGTCTGGCTGGGGTTTTACGAAGGTTGCTGATAGAAATCTGTTGGTGAAATGGGAGAAAGCATCAGACTTCATGTGATTTTCTGGGAAATCAGACAAAAGGTGCCAGTACACATGGCTTACAACCATGTGTATTCCTGCTCAGAATTCCCAGCAGACATTCATACTCAACCTGAGAGTGTGTAGCTGATGTTAATGTTTGACAGAACATTTCTGCAGTTGCCTGCAGAAAGAGTTAGGTGCAAATTTTTTAATACATGGAAATATGCTGTGTGGTACAAGAGGAAAGTGACTTTTGGATAGAGTTTGGCAAAAATGTGCACACAGGAGTAATCACACCTACTTGGCTGTTCGAGTGGTGACATGGGATGTGGAAAGATCCTGGGAAGGAGTGAGCGGAGAAGTGTTTGACTTTGTTACTGGATTATGCCACCGTGTTACTTTCCTGTTACCATCTTTCTTCTGATTCCTTACTGAGAGTAAACCTTGTGGCTTGGGAAAAGGGACAAAACATCTGAAGGAGCAGCAGACAGTGACATTGTGTTAGGATGGTTGTCAGCATTGTTGGAACAGTAGATGTGGCGCTTTCATCCAAAAAGGTCTTTTCCTTTCAGAGCTGCACAGGTTTCTCTGGACAGGGGTGTTCAGGTGTCTTTCACAGCCGAATGACACAAGGTTTAGCTGAGCTGCCCAGAGCTCACTTCATGTGCAAGGTGACCCAGAGGCAATCAGCAACTCTTTTCCAAGTAGAAGCTTCTGTGTTTTCACTTTCTGGTTTTTTTTCCAACTTTTTAATTCTCTGACAGTTTTCTTCATCTTTGTTCATCCTTTTGTGATTGCGTAAGAAATGGCATTTATTTTGCTCAGTTCAGTTTAGCATGGCAATCCCCTGTGAGAAGCACCCCCTTGGCCTCAACAACAGTCCATGAAATATGTAGAAATATCTCTAGGAAGCTGATGTTCCTAACTGGCACTTGTCACCCTCACTAGAGAAGCAAAAGTGACAGTATTTGGGGCAGGTTGGAAAGCAAGGTCCAGCTCAGGGACTGTGCATGAGTTTTGATGCCAACAGTAGATGACATGAATGACCACAAGAAAAACATTTCAGTCATTAAACATCGAACATTTTTTTAATTATTAACTATTCCTTTGATTTTTCTTTTCTTTTGGATGTATTTGTTGGACTTTGTGTGTTTGGTTGTTTTTTCTTAAATCTGCCTTCCTTAGAGCAAATGTCTGTTAGCACAAACCCTTCTCTTGAGCAGAAGGCCTCTGAATGGCAGATGTTAAGAGATCTCAGGATTATCATCTAATCTGTAGTGCTGTTCCTGGGCTGCATTACATATACCCAAATAATTTATGACAAGTGCTTTCCTGGCCTGTTGGTGAAGAAATTTTGTAATCTAGGGCTCATGTCTTCTGTATGAGACTATCAAATGTTTTTCAGCTGCACCAGATAGAATTTTAATGGACCTACTTTAAATTCCTCGTTTTACTATTTCTGATTGAGATCTGAAGTCTGCATTTGGCCTTTTCCTCAAGAACAGGTTTATACATACCAATATTCAGAAGCCTTTGAATTTAGAAACAAAAAGGAGCTTAATATGTCCTATGTCTCAGTCAGGCTTGTCAGTCATTTGGATTTTCAGAGACTGCCTTGTTGATTTTGGATCTTACTCAGAGATACGCTTAGTGGATCTTCTCTTTCAGGGGGTGCTATGAGCAGAAGAATGCTTTTGGAAACAAAGCAGCTCTTTAACTGAAGTGTCTTGATAGGAGATATATCCTTTCAAAAACCTGCTGACTTCTTTGGAGGTCTAAATAGGCAAAGTTGGATGCTGCATTTTTTAAAAGATTAAATTGTCATCCATTTCAGCTAATCTCAAATTTATGCTCAATTGTGAGCACATTGCTATTGCTATTCTCTTTTGACAAAGCCCTGCAATTTGTGTTATCATCACTTCAGCATCTTCTTTCTTCTGCTCTTTATATTGAGTGATCATTGCTTCCTGTTCACTTGCCCCGGACAGAATCATGTCTCCCCTTTGGAATATTGTGGTGGGTTTGCCATTGCCATTTGCCATTGCCATTTGTCACTGGTGATTTGGTATTTCACCATGGCAGGCAGAATGGTTCCAAGAATTTCCCTCTGCAGTTCCCATAATCCCACTTTCACCTAAAAGACACCCTCCTTTTCCTTATTTCTACCCTCAGCATAAACAGACAGAGCAGAGCACATCACTATGAGCACTTTTACATCCAGCAGTGATTTGTGGAGGTCTGGCTGGCTCAGGCACATGGAGAGAGGAGTCCTCTGTTCCAGGTCCTTGGCTTCTCCCTGTAGCAAGACATGAAATATTTAAAGCTCATGCCTCATTCTACAGCCTGACATGGTTTTTGGGGCTTCATTAAAAGTTAATAGTTCTTTATTTCTCACAAGTTATTTGAGATTTAAAGGGCTGTTGGAGTTCACTATCAATCAGAGAAAGAGATTAATATTCTGTGAAACCCTTATTGCAGATATTGCCAGCTGTTTCTGCACACATTTCAATTCTTACTCGACAGAACAATGCCTAATGGTAGTTCCATTTGAAGCTACTCAGAGCATGAAACCACAGTCTTGGTGTCAGGATGAGTCATGAAAAGATGCTGTCACACCTCATTTCTGACTTTACAAAAGGCTTTGTGGTTTTTCTGATGTGGTGTCAAAAGTGCAGGACCTGATCAGCTACCTCCTTCTCATTTCTGAAGTCTGAGAGTAACACTGTAGAAGGGACAGGAGATGACAGGCGTATCCATACTCCCCAAACTAGGTGGAGAGGAAGCAAATCATGCCAGAAGGTGCACATCCATGGTTGGGGTTGATGGCTATGCCCCCTGGCACCCCAGGGCTGACTGCTGTCTGTGTGGCTGGCAGTGTGGTGGAACAGGCTGCCTGTCCATGGCTCTGTGGGAATACAGGTGATTTAGGGTCAAAAGGAGACAGATGCTGATTTTTCTGAGAGGGACAGCTCAGGGGCATGAATGTCAGAGCCAAGGGCTCAGCATCTCACTTCCTGGTGTTGTGCATAGATGGAGTTAAACGCTGTGGAACAGGAGTGACAAAGCCCCCTGAGAAAGGAATCTCTTTGCCATTTGGTGGTGGTGAGGAGGCAGACCTTCCCTTCTCTCTGATGGTGGTCACCAGGGATTGTGACAGGAAGAACATTGTCAAGGAGCAGGTAGGGATTCACAAGCCAGATTACCTGTGTAAGTGTAGGCTGTTCTGTGCTGCCCCATGCCCCAGGTGTAGTTTGGCTTTCCTACCTGTGTGGTCCTGTGCATATCCCCTGCTGCAAGAGGATCTCCATTGCCTGATTGCAACCAAGGAGCCTGTGGGCAGTTTCCCCTCAGTACAGGCAATTACACCCCTGCGTGTCCTTGTCTTTAACTAAAAGTGCAGCAACAAGTTCTCATGTAAACATCGTTTTTGTTTGATAGTAGGAATGATGAGCAGAATTGTTTTCTTTTCAGAACATGCTGTTGAAGCTCGAAAGCCCAAAGTGGGGTGACCTTGGTGCTTGGTGTGCTTGGACAACCAATGAATACAGCACAGCTCAAGGGTTCCACCTGAGGGAGGTAAGACTATCTATACTCTCCTCTTTGTCATATTAACTCTAATGAATGGCATTTTACGTTATAATTCACAATGTTTGAGTGCCTTGCTTACTGGGATCACAACAAATTATCATCTTCTGGTTCAAAACAGGGCTGGTCTGCTTTTCCCAGAATGTATAGAAATGATGTGGACAAATTAGATGCAATAGGAGAATGTGGCATGGCTACAGCTGTGTGGGAAGGGGCAGCCCTCAGTTCCAGGATTGCAAGTCCTTGAGGAATAAAATGTAAGCTAAGTCCCGGCATTTTTTAAGGCACTTATTTATAAATTCCTATTATTTGGTAGAAACCAATATATGCAGGAAATTGTCCTTTTGAAATCAAACCCTGTTAGCTGTGAACATCTTAAAAGGCCTACTGTACAGGAGCTATGACTTAGTCACAAGACTGGAAGAATGAGCTGTTCAGCCCAAACTAGCATCTCAGTGTCATGGATGTCATGGTTTAACTCCAGCTGGCAATAAAGCACCATCCAGACACTTGCTCACTGCCTGCCCCCTCCCAATGGGATGGGGAGTAGAATCAGAAAAAAAGTAAGAAAACCCTTGTGGGTTTTTGAGATAACAACAGTTTAACAATTTAAACAAAGAAAAATATAATAATAACAATAATAACAAGAAGAAGAATAGATAAATAAACCAAGAAATACAGTTGCTGACCACCCACTGGCTGAAGCTCAACCAGTCCCCAGGCAGGAATCAGGTCCTCTCAGCCAACTCTCCCCGGTTTATATACTGGGCATGATGTTCTATGGTATGAAATATCCCTTGGGCTAGTTCGAGTCAACTGTCCTGGCCATACTCCCTCACAGCTTCTTGTGCAGCTCCTCTCTGGCAGAGCATGGGACACAGAGAAGTCCTTGGCATAGGGTAAGCACTGCTCAGCAACAACCAAAACGTCACAGTGTTATCAGCATTATTCCCAGTCCAATCCAAAACACAGCCTGTACCAGCTACTGAGATGAAAATGAGCTCTATCCCAGCCCAAACCAGGACAATGGATTAATCAGCTAGAATACAATCTCTAGAATTTTTTAAAAAGAAATTTAGCTGTTCAGAGGTCATTTGTGTCTCGTGATGACTGATCCCAAAGTAAATTGGTTGGAGTTCATTGTGGAAAATGTCATCCCATGATATATAATGCACAAAGGCTAGGATAGTGGATCTAATGCTGTTTGTGAACCACAGCCTACTTGAGCTGCTGTGAGAGTTCCTTTGGAAGAATTCCTGCCCACGTGACTGCAGAGGGGGGCAGGGCAGATCACCCCTTCCAGGCTGGGAGTTAGCTCCTGGGCTGGAGGATGGAGGAGGATGGCCTGCTGAAGGCCTGCTCTTTTCCAGAGTATTCTTCTGAGCAAACTTCTATTTAAATGAGCTTGAAATTTTAAGCCCAAAGTTCTCCCAGAAGAAATATTTAATCTAAGCCCAGCTGACCTTTTCAAAAGAAATTCTTTATTAACCAATTTGTTGTCATTAGCCACCAGGAAACTCACTTGTAAAGACAGTAGATAAAAAATTTACAGTTTTCCGGTATGCCAGTTTAGGTAATTTTGCTGGAGGGAGTTCATTTGGAAGAGAAAAGGATGACAGATTGGATATTTGAATACCATTCAGAAGGGTTTTTTTAAGGCTCATTTCTCTTTCAGACTTGCTAACATTCAAATCATGTCAGGTTCATTTCTATCCAGTATTATTCATTCCCTTCTCACTGGAGGTTTCTACCTTACTGTTTTTTTACCTTTTGCTGCTTTTGGAGCCGGCTGCATCTTCCAGATCTGTAGCTCCCTGTTGAAGCTAACACAGCCTTTAGACAAAAATAAAGACGATGGAAAGTAACCCCCTCCCTACTACACAGGGACATGAGGCAATGGCCTTTCTGCCAGGGCAAATGGATTTTCCTGAGCTTTCTGCATTGGTCTCCTGGGCAAAGGAACATTTTTCACTTGTGGGGTTTTTTTCTATTTGACTGATTGAGTTAAGAGGTCATTTGCTAAAGCCCACAGAAAACTAGTCCATTTATATATTTATTTCAGCCCACTTAGTGAGAAAGGCACTGATGTGACGGTGTGAAAGTGTGTGTGAAGGGGACCTTTGGGATGCAAAGAGCCCAAGATTCTGTCCCCTGCTAAGGAAGGGCAATTCCAAAGCATGCTCTGAAAGTTAAGGGACCAGTGCTGCACAGAAGACTTCAACTGTCTGTTGTCTTCAGGGTGTGCATTTTTTTGCAGTGAGACTTGTCATCTTCCAGTCCCTGTACACCTGACTAAAGAGATTAAGTCAGAAAGTCTAACATCAGGCAGATGGAAGTGTGCCAATCTGCTCCCTGGAATGGAAACTTCTCCTCAGCTGTATTTGTACCAGCCACAGGAAAGTCTGCAGATGTGGCTGGCAAGGCAGCAGGAGATGGACAAGAAATTATTGAGAACCCTCATCTCTACCAAGAACAGGTCCTAAAGCCAGTGTCACTTCTTATACTTGGGTTCTGCTCAGAGCAAAACCACCCTAAGATAATGTTGATCATTTTAAGGGTGGTTGCAGCAGTGCATCGGAGTTTAATCCTCTACTTGCATTGCTCTGCATTGCTCCAGCAGTGTTTTTTTTCCTGAAACATTACTATTGTAAAGATAAATACCAAACTGCTGCTGAGCTCTGGTACACAGGTCCTCCTGCCTGAGGTTTTAAAAGAAAGTCTCCTGGTTTTGGTGGAGTGGTCTAAGGCTTGAGCCTCAGTGATGATAGGCAAGAGTCCGAAACAAATTCTGCCAATAAAATGGCAGCAGCACAACTTGCTGGTCATTAAAACCAATGCTTGTTGCTTTGTAAAGGTGAACTATTGGAAAAGAGGTAATCCAGGAAAGGTGAAAAATTAATCACATTGATTGGGTGATAAACCTCTCCAGAAGTCATGCAGGCAGACAAATGAGTTACTGCTAAGCTGGGTGGGATAAAGGGAGATGGGAAGGGGCTCTTCTGTTCAAAGAGCTCTGTGGATGGTCCAGCACCACAAAGTCTGCTGTAGTTAACTTTATATTATGGAGTGACATATTTGAAACCACACTGAAGCTCTTGCTGTCTATCAATGCCAGCTTCACACAGTGCCTGTCAAAGAAGTGACAAGATCTGTCTTTAAAACACTGATGTGTTTCAGAATTTAAAGGAAATTTTTTTCTACTTTTGTCCAGCAAATATCAGTCAATGGATTTCATGAGTGACTGAGATGTTCTGCATGAGATTATGTGACGAAATGCATAAAGGGGAAAAAAACTCCAAAGCCTTGAATGCTCTGTGAGTTTCTACAAGTTGTCAATACTGGATCAAAAAGTTCAATTTACCTCCTGAAGGTCAAGTTTTACTTTTGATGTGATGATACATCTTAGTTCCTTACAGATAATTTCCATGAATCAGATGGAATTTGGGTTAATAGAGCCTATAAAACTGTATACAAATGGCTGAAAAATTCCACACCTCCAACATACATCAAGTATGAATTTCCTGCCTTGCTTCAGGGTCTCTTCCTCCTCTAGATGAACCTGGGTTTTTGACTGGAAAGCACCCTTGCTGATCATTTGCTTTGAGAACTGTGCTTTGGAAAGGATTATTTAGATTCCATTTTCTGCAGGCTCAAGAAAATTTCAGGTACTTCTTGGTTTCAAAGTAGTTTCTTATCTTCTCTAGTCTGATGTCTACAATGTCTAAGCAAGTGTGAAGTCACATACATGTGGTAGGTTTGGGAATGGTAATAGAATAGGCAGGTAAAAAACTCTCTGACAGAAGAATTGTCATGCTTGGAAGCTAATAGTTACTTTTGGATAGATAGATATGAGAAAAAACCAAGACTAAATCCTAAAGGAAACTCAATAAAACACACTTACTTGATGTTATTGTAAACTGGCATGTAATTTTGCTGTGAGGCAAGAATTCCTCCCAAATCAGTTCCAAAGTCTGCACAACAAGGAAAGTTTACAATAATCAACCACTATATGTCTTGATGTATGAATCCAATATCTGGCCAAGGGCAGGGAACAGAGGCTCAGATGGCCATGCTGTTAGTTCTGCTGTTAGTATTAGAATTTAAAAGTCACAGAAATTGCATTTCCAATAATCATTGGGTTCTCATATGTAAAGTTTGGGACTGGAATTTAAGGAAGAAGTCTTTTTTGTTTTTTTTTTTTTTTACTTGGCTATTGACTTAGTGGGTAATTGTGGTTATTTGGCACAATTTCTTGCTTTCTCCCTGTGAAATGCAAGGATCACTCCAGTGTCTTCCAAATAATGTTTGGATACCTGAAGATGGCAAGCACCACAGAAGGCAGGCCTATTAGCATTGGGAGCATGAAGAATTACTGATTACAGCTTCACAGTTAACAGGTCCAAACACGTGGAAAATCTCGAGCATTCATCTAACTGCACACTTCCCTCCTACTTATGCTGCAGGAGTCGGTTGGTTTGTGCTCACTCTTGTTTCACAGCTCTGTTGAAGGGAGCTCTCAGGGTGTCTGAGGATGCACAGCTGTTTGCAGCTGCAGAAGCTGCCAGAGTAGATGTGGAGTTAAAGGAATATACCCACTTATGTCCCTGGCAATACAAACATCCATTTGGGATCTTCAGAAATGAGCAGAAGTAGCCTCTCACTACAGATTTTAGGAGTGGAAAATTTCGTCATGGGAAGTTGCTAATTGGAGTATGGAACAAATATTTTCAAGTGTCCGGTATGGAACTGTTGTTCTTACGTGGCTTCGTGGAATGCTTACTAATTTTTTAATGTATTTATTAAATGTAACTGTGAAAACTGTAAATGGGAGACCTCATTGCAGTCTACAACTTCCTTGTGAGAGGAAGAGGAGGGACAGACACTGATCTCTGTGGTGACCAATGATAGGACCCGAAGGAATGTCCTGAAGTTGTGTCAGGGGAGGTTTAGGTAGGATATTAGAAAAAAGTTTTTCCCCCAGAGGGTGGTTG